TAGTGGAGGGACAATTTTTGCGTGAGGCATCAATATAAATGAAAGGAAAATTTATAAAATTTCAGGAAGGAACGATAATGTGGTTTCTAGTGAGGAAGGGCAGAGTAGCTGTACACAGCTTTTCCTGTACATATCATTAACGTTACCATTATATTGTATAATATATTTTTCTACATGTTTGTATTTCTGATTCCCCATAACGTTGATTTATGACTATATCTCACTAATTTTATCTTCTCATTTGCACATAATTTTGAACAAGTATTTTCCAGTATTCTTTAAAAAAATCAACTAAACCAATACAATTTATTATGTTATTATATTCTAGATATTCAGGTATGCCCAGCCATCTATTACAAAAAAAATTCTTCCTCCATTTTCTCATTTTCAAGAATTTCTCACCCGAATTTTGACCTCAGATTTCTTGCTTCAGATTCGCAATTCAGTAGCACAATGTGGATTTGGAAGCCAAACCTTATCTTACAGCTCCTGTCAGTGGAATCAATCCGAGTCTCAGGAGATTAAGCTTATATATTGACACGTGACGGTCTGACGACAGTTTGAGGGTACACTTTTTGAGGAATACTGCAAGTGTTTCTGTGAACTCACCAGTGTATCGAGGGAAAGCTGATACACTTGTGGTGATAAGTCCCCCAGTACCACTTAAGTGTCATGGTTTTGAACCCTGTATTGCGGTAACTACTAGATGTTGCATGTTTGTTTTAGTGAAATACCTAATCTTAGATTATAAAGTGCACTGTATATAAACTTTACCGAACAACCAAGCACTCCAATGGGAAGAACAGAGACAGAATCTAGTCTTTGTAGATTTCTGAGAGATTGTCAAACTTTAAAGTGTGCTCTGCAAACAAGTTCTGGAATATTGATCTTCCGTAGGGGTGCCCAGTATGTGATCGTAGAGTCTAAGATTGAATACCATTTATATGTTAAAGAATTGTGTATTGGACTGGAGCGATCATAGTGACCGCGCGGTGAGGTTGTGGGTGGAGGCTAGGCCACTCCAATCCCACTCGAGGCATGGGTGCTTGTCCGTCATTCTGTGATGTGTCTTAGATTCGGATCCTCCCTCCTCCCTGTCCAGGGAGTCCTAATACAAGTTGAAAGTGTCAGAAACGTTTAAGGGAAATGACCCAAGATGGTAGTGAATAATGAATTGGGAAGGTTGTGGAACATTTCTTAACCGTGGGATGATTTAGTTGTTTTCTTCCCTCGTACTATGAGTAGCTTTTCCACTGAACCCAAGTGTTAAGAAACACCTTGCGCTATTTTTAAAAATTAGTGGTCGGTATTTGTTGCCTTTACAGAACATCTTTGAAACTGGCACATTTCCGTGGTATATACTCAGATGTAAATCATATTGAAATTTGCACAAATTGCCATAAAGTTTCATATTATTTTAAATGTGCTCCTTTAACATATTGTATCTGACAAAATTTTAACGTGATAAACTTCCATTTGACGGTGAATTTTTGTTTAGTGTTGCCTGTGGTACTTGTACATGAATCAGAAAACGAGATAAGAATCACGACTTCTTTCATCCCCTTCGGAGTAAAGAAAACAAACGATCTCGTAGTAACTGGTAGTAACTTAACAATTAATTTTGTGAGCCTGGCTACAAGAGACTTCGGGTCGGATGTGGCCCGCGGGCCGCCTGTTATTCCATTCTGTCATAACTTAAAACGTGAAACTTTTTGATTTTAATAATAATATTAATTCTTATAGGAATTTTTCTGCCAAACCTATAATAATAGAACCAAGGAAATTTATATACGCAGTACACCCATAAGAGAAATATACAAAACGTTTCAGCAAAGTGCTCAGAACTCCTTCATATTAGGTCCGGAGACCACAGAACCCCAGTTAGCAACGTATTGTTTCAGAATTCATAGTTAACGTATTGTTGTATTGACATTCACACAGTTTTAGTTACATTGTTATGAGACTGATAAATTCGAAGTGATAAACATTACATTTGTTGTTTTTAAGATTTTATTTAAAGTAATCCTTAAATATTTATTCAATTAAATTTCTTTATTCATACTAATAAGAACGGAATAAGTAGATTACCAGTTTTATCAGGTGTCTACTTCAACATACCGCCTGTTTGAAACACAGGCCAACAAACTATTGAAACCACCGTGCAGTATATTTTATTTGCGGTCTTTGGTTTCTATATAATATTAAAAACGTTGGTTACTTTGTTTGTAAAAGATAGTGGTGGTAGTTTTTGTAATAGTTACCTTGCGGTACTTGTACAAAATTGTTTGTGTGGTACGTGATATCAATTGCTTTTACCCGGGAGGGATGCAAATCCTCTGTTACGTATTGCCCCTCTCTGATAAGTTAGACTTGCAGATACTGTTTTGAGGTAGATGAATAAAATTCGTCGTAATAAAAGCCGACAAATATAAAATGCTGTTGTTTACATTGTAATAAAGTTGGATTGAATTTGTACATAGTTTGAATGATTTGATCATGTTATTTATGTTTTTTGAAAATGATGTCTCTGTCATAGTGTATTATAGTGTCATGTTCTCCCTTGGTTTCTAGTAACTGCTGTTTTAGTCCACGAACCAAATACCTACACTTACTGCTCCGTGTGCGTTATGTACGAGTTTATTTTGGGCCCTTAATAATAACTTAGTTTATATTTTAACGACGATAATGCATATGCTATGTTTGCCATGAAAATTTTAATGGCCACTCATTTGACGAGGATTCATTGCTTTCTCGATAACGCAGCTGCCTCTCATTGGCTGACATTGAGGCGTTGATTGAGCCATTTATTAGATTGTTATAGGTGATAATTTAGCAGCGAGTGCTATCGCCTTCATCTGTCAGCTCTTTATTGGCATTGCTCTCTTGTTCTCTCGCTTTCTCCTGCAAGCACTCCTGCATGTGTTGTATCGATTGTTGTTACGGAGTTAAAAACTCTCTTCTGAATGTTCATGACGTACATTATCGTTACGAAAACGTCCACTTATCAGTTTAAAAAAAACTGGTGTTTACTTTTTTATCCAAAAGTGCTTGGGTCATAAACACTCCTCGTAATCTATGACCCAAATAAGCCTGTTGGCAGTTTCGTGAAGCGTTGTAACTTGGGTGTAAATATATTATCGATTCGAGTTGGGCATCTTAAGGGTAATCGGTTGACTAACTCCTATCGACCTTGGTGATGGCTATAGCTGTTGATGTCCCGTACACTACGTAACTATTTACTGACAGGAATGTGCTCCAACATCTACGGACATGTCCGTGGTCATTGCTTGTTTGTTTTAGTAATCTAGGGCAGTGATATTCAACCTGGGATACGTGAATTTTAAAGAATATATATATATTATTTTATGATAAACACTGAATAATCAGTAATTTAATTTATTTAATTTATTTTAGATGTAGATTATATACTATGTATAACTTGAATTATACACCAACAACTTTGGGGGTACAAAGTTGAAGAGAAATTATATCTGGGGGTACGCGAACAAAAAAGGTTGAATACCACTGATCTAGAGTAACGGATCATCTGCTGCCCGAATATTGTTTTCCAGTGGTAAACGTTCGACGAAATTTAGCGGGGAATTATTTATTTTATATTTTCAAATAATTTTTTCTTTTTATTTTCACCTTCGTACTTTCATTTATTCGATCTCTTCCTCTGCATTCCATCCCTATCAATGTTATTTAAACGTGTTGTTATATATATAGTAGAATTAGGCTACTTATAAGAGCTTCGGAGTGGTACTGCTGTCGTGAAACAGAACATTTTGTCATCTGGCGTCTTTATTGAGAACTCTGGCCTCTGGGACCGTATAATGTGCAGATAGTCATATGCCATATTGTATTTTCTATATGTGAACAATACGTGTATTTGAAGTCGTGCTAGATTTTTTATTTATGCAGTAAAGTTGTTGTATTTTGTTTTGTGTAATGAATTCACACATTCTGGAAGGGCGTGATGTGCCTTGCGTTAATACTAATGATTTGATATCAGAACCCTGATGATGGGGACGGAGATGGTTCCCAAAACGTTAGTTTCTTCGTGTAACCAATTGACGTGGCTTGTTGCCCGAGAAGTGTTTTGAGTTTAATCGCCGCGAAAGCTTCAAATCATATAATATTAATGATGTCTGATACTATTTTCGCTACGAGCCTCATTTTAATCTTATTATGTGAATACGCATTGTATAGTTGAAACTGATGGTTATAAAATGTAGAGCAATTTAATTTGGTATTATTTATTATTTTACTTTTAAACGTTAAGAGTAATAAAAATATATCACTGTAATGACAAACAGTCTCATGAATCTAAAATTTTCTGTGGACTGTTGTTTTATTAAATATGATTTCCTCAGTGTCAGCACTCATTGTTTCGTTTGGAACAAAACAGCTATTTATACAAATTTGCCCCAAGACAGAAACCTGTCCTGCATGTCAAAATAACTTTGTGCTCTGTTTCTCTGCCTTCTTCCTTGCCTTTCTAATCTGTTGTATTAAGTTATAATAACTTAATCGGTGTTGATAAATGTTTGATCAGTGTGTTGGTGAACTAAACCCTACTGGATATTCTTGGCTATTGATGATAAAATACTTGAACGAATGATATAAAGTTCTTACGTAAAAATCAAATCCATGCAACATATACCTTCTTGAGAACTTAACAGTATGCTCAGTTAGTCAAGAAATTCCTTGCCTTTTTATGGAACACGAAGCCTCATTACCGTTTTCGAAAGAATTCGACACTGTTCCCTATCCTGATACACATGAGTCCATCTATCACATCCTATGTCTTCATATTCACACATTTTCTTTTATTAAAATCATATTAATATTATCTTTCCATCTCTGCCTATGTGTATGTAATATAATGTAATGTATTATATTTCTTGAACGGAAGGGATGATCCATTTTAATATTATGCTTCCGTATATAATGTGATTCTATAGCGTGTCTTGAATGGGATTCTTTTATTGTTTCAGAGGACCGAAAATTTGGATCTGTCTCTATCCGTGCCTCACGCTTTCCACAATAACGGATATAACATGGCTGACCAGGTAAGGAAGCATTGATAAAAATCATGGCATGCAAGTGTTCATATCACTAGTGGCACATTAGCTTCATAAGGTGTTTTAAAAGAAAGGCGTCGCATTTGCTCATTGTCACTGTATTTGACCTTCAGTGCTGCATTCCAAGTACTTTTCCGTACCAGAATAGTTAGCGGTGTATAGTATAAATCTTGAAGATGGCTGCCTCCATCATTAAGGCATCGGCTTGATGGTAGAGGCTGCATCTCAGAAGAGAGCCACCTTCCCTTCAAATCCTACACAGCATAAATCTTACCTATTATGAAGATTTTGGTGTCGTATAAATAATTTCTCTCACACGCTGCATACGGCATAATTGAAAGAAATATAAGAACATTTATATGTCAGAATGTTTATACCGATATGGTATGCAATGGTATGTATTTTTGCACACTAAAGTAAACAATCAGGGCCGGACATCTGAGTCAATGTAGTGACTAGGCTGCGACCGGGACTCGGTTCCCAGCAGGGCTGGATTCTTCTCGTCATTTCAACGTTCAGACCGACTCTGGGGCCCACCCAGTCTCCTATGCATTGGGTGTTGGTGTCATTCCTCGGGGATGAAGTAGCTGAGGTGCGAAGCTATTCACTTGCCTTGTATTGTCGATGTTAAGATTGTGTGAAATTATACCTCCACTTACCCACAGCGTGATGCTTAACTAAGCACCAGGGACAGCTTTTAATTTAGTTATTTCACTAAGTTCATCATAATGTCTGTAGTTTTTAAATTATTCATTAGCTGATTTTGTTGATTTACGACCCAGTAACAGAGGGAATGAGTTCGCGTGTGTGTGCCCGCGCGCGTGGTGTATGTGAGAGGAAAAGTAATTTTTGTTGCCATTAATTGTGAGTAATTTTGCACAATAAATTACACAGGTTATCACTTGCAAGATGTAAGTTCCGTTCTAGCACTAGTTTCGTTAATAGTTTATCTACTTTTAGGCCTAAGTAAGTAGCTATCTTTTTTCCTAGCTAATTCAGCAGACTTCTCAGAGTTGCTGTCTGGTGGAGTTAACATTTTAACCTGACATCATAAATTTATGTCAGCAATAAATAAATTCTAGAACCGTTAAGATCTCCAAGTTGCAAATAACACCTTTTGAAACTTAGTAATCGTAATTCATAAGCCTTGTTTACCATTAATGAGGCTATTTTAACCGCTTCGTTACTTGTAACTCCCGAAACACGTGATATATTTTTGTTTCACGTCATCCAGATTATTTAAGCCAGGCGTTTTATATACTTTTGTGTACCTGGGGTCACATCATCCTTTCTTATAGACTTGCGGGCCGCGATACTTTAAATGAGGACAGTTTGTTGAAACACATGGGCAATTATTTAAAATGTTATTAAATTACACCTAATATTTCAAATGTTTTACTCAAATTTCTTTAACAATATAAGTCATTAGTTGACGCTGGATTTACTCCACTCATCTGAATAACAGGTTCAAGTTTTGTTGTGGTGGTTCTCATGAATCTGTGCAACTGTTCATCAGAAAACGCATCCTGGTTTATTTTACGTTCTTTATTAGTTACTGCCAAATACTAATGCCATTAACGAAACGATCCTTCTGATCAGGTAACTATACTTCGTGGTATATTACACAGTAGTGATAAGTACGTAGGCTGCATAAAACTCTTATGGCTGGAGAGATGCGAGCCGTGGGTTTTAATCCCAGATTTAAACGTAGCAGGTTTGGCTTTGCGGTAGGGCGGCGGACTTGTATTCTGGAGATACCAGGATAAGAATTAGAAAATAAGAATAATTCTGTCCCTTCACATTGTTGCCAGCTCGTCATCAATCAATTGTCTTTCGGCTCTGTATAACTCGTGCAGTTGAGAACGTGTCGATAAATAAATCATTAATTAACTGAGTCCTTAAGATAGGCAAACTCAGTATTGACCCTCATAGCCAGCTGTTGACTTCTGGATTGTGAGCCGTGGTGTCTTGTCAGTGGTAACCAACAAAAAATATTTCGGATGAATGTATTGCCTCCGTCTTCAGGGTTAAGTTGATACGTTCTACCGAAACGTTTGTAACCACCTACAAAACCACACGGCTTTACAACCCAGAATGCCACAATCGATGTATTTACCGTCGTGCGAGTCTCAAATCCCAAACATTAATTTTTGTTCACTTGTTTCATGTGTTATTGAATTTACAAGGTGTCCGTGGTAATCAAAATATTTTTTTATGAATCACGATTTGTCTAATGAATGATTAAATCCCAGAATTGATCTGCTCGTGTTGTCATACCAAAGCGAACAGCTCGTTGTTATGGCTTTATCCGAGCGCTAGTTGATGCTGAATAATACTTTCATTGATTCTATAGACTGGGGACAGGTCCGTTCTGTCAGACTGTAACATTGATTAGGTTTTGTGACATTCAGTACTTTGCACGTGAAGTTAGACATGCCTACAGAATATGATAAACCGAAATCAAAATAGTGGAAATACCTTTCAGTCCTTGCATCGCATTGTCTCTTCCATAGTTTGAATAAAAGTATGTGTTGTTGGTATTTATATGGACGAAAATAAATCAGGTTTACGGAATAAATACATACACATTCGTATTGTAGTGTAACTGTAAGAAGTGTAACCCCCCAGGTGTATACGTATTCACTGATAACATTACTGTTAGTTGACGTTTAAAGTTTATAAAAATGTCTTTTCTTAATTTCGTAATAGTATCTGTTGGTCTTGTGTGTTCTAAGTGAAAATAAGAATACATCGCCCTGATGACGGAGGCAGTATGACCTCTGAAACGTTGGTTAACATCGACCAGACTACACAGCGCAACAACCCAGAAGACAGAAATCTTCATATTCACCGCTGTGAGAACCTCAAGTCTTACAAGAATACATTAAATACTCATAAATTGACAATTTTTATCTTCGTTCTTTAATCCCATCTGTACCCAAATATTTGCTGAAATTATTGTCTGGTACCGATTTTCACAGTAGGAAGGTGTCAGAAAGTTTCCGCAATGGTTTATTTTACAGCTTATTGTGTTGGCTGCACTGCTTATTTTGCACGCAGGTAGAAGCACGAACACTACGTTGCTGTGAAATTCTTTCTACCTTGACCGGCCAGTTGTAGTGTCGTTGTAGTAGAGTTTACATGGCCGCTTCGCTTTTTTGTGCACCCAACGTGCAGTGATACGATTTCTGTGGGCTGAAGCTGTACCAGGGGTAGCAATACATCGCAGACTTTCAACACTATTTAAAAAGTGCTTTAACGCAGCAAAGTGTGTACGAATGGTTAACCGTGCCCACAAATGGTCGCACAAGTGTCACCGATGAAGAACGCTCGGAGGCCGTCCACGTCTACTGCAGAGGAAGAAGACATTAAGGAGTCCGTGCTATGATAATGGTAATCGACAGGTGACTATCGATTAAGTGGCGCTTCATCTGCGCATCAGTCATGGTTGTCCTCATGAAATTATCCAAAACCGACCGGCTATTCGAACCAAACGCCGAGGACTATTGTCGAAAGGCGTCTCAGTTTTGCGCGATAATGCCCGTCCGCACACTTCCGCCCACACCGTTGAAAGCCTCCTCCAACCGAACTCAGAGGTGTTGAACCTTTCTCCGTGTAGTCCTGATCTGGTTCCTTTTGAATATCACCTATTGGTCCACTGAAAGACACTCGCCAATGACCAAGAAGTGTTAGAAGTGGCTTTTCACTCAACCAAAATTTTTTTCTGGGGCATACAGAGGCTTGTGGATCGCTGAACTAAGTGTGTTGAAAAGGACGGGGACTATTTCGAAAAATTATGCTATTGTGCAAACTCGTTGTCTTTTTATTATTAATAAAAATAAATAAATTGCGGAAACTTTTTGACTCACCCATGTAAATAGCCGTACAATCTCGAAGTTTTTTTGTCGTGTTAATTGAAGTTTGTGGTGTGCCATTTATTCAAACAAATGGACTTCAAAAGTGGTTCCTTAAGTGCCTAACAGATAGGTCTATTAGGAAAATCAAATTGCATTCCAAAGTCAGACTCAGTTCTACAGTTTGAAGTAGAAATAATACACACTGTGCCATGTGGAATGTATGTTTAAATGCCTGGACCTCAGAGTTTGTTAAAAGTTCTGATTTCTTCCTAGATTTTCATTGATATAGAATAAAGATATCTATCTTCTGGGGTGTTGCGCTACGTAGTCTGGTCGATGTTTACCAACGTTTCAGAGGTCATACTGCCTCCGTCATCAGGGATATAAAATAATTTGAGGACCATTCTGTTCCGCATTTTCTGGGTTGGTCTAATTCCTTATTTTCCTATAATATATGCAAAATGCGTAGCCTGTGGCTCTGCAGTATAACATTTATCAGGCTGTAATTTCAAATTAGCATTTCTTGGCTTTGCATTACAGGTGTATCGTGGTGTAAGTCTCAATTTTGTGTTGGGACCTGCAAAGGTTCGCGCCTTTCTTTAATAGAATGACATTGTGGATAATTTTATTGTTAGGCAAACTTTAAATACTAAATTTTATTTACATATAACCAGAAGGGGGCCAAAATTGTTGATAGGAATTTAATTAATGAAAACAGTAAAAGTTGTATTCATGGTAAAGAATGACAAGTTGAACAGTGCAGTAAGTAAACAAAAGGAAGTGAGTGAATCTGGAATTAAACTGTCATGGCACTTGTAAATTGTCAAATTCAATTTCTTTCGTAAATATTTTGTATCAAGATTTAAAGTAGAATTCGCATATTTAATAAATGTGTGGTAGACTGTACATTCTTGTGTCCGAGTACAGTGTTTGTATCAGAGACATCTTCTTACCTCCTCTAGACAGCCCCAGAACAGAGAGGAATCCTGGTGTCCCAGTTTTTAGCCTGAATGTGTGAAGTATTGTTTTATGCTCTACCAGAATTAATTCAGCATTTTCCCCTATGTCCCGGACTTGGCGAAGTACTCTTCGTCTAGGCTTAGGATACTGAACTATTGTAACGCCGAGGTA